CAAGCATTAAGCTAATCCTCTGCTATTATCTGCCTTTGTGTGGGTTACAAAGTTACATAGTATTTGAGGTTGAATAAAGACATTAGTCCATCAAGTCCAACCTATTAGGATCTCATTCTAGGAGTACCCGTACCCCTGTATATTACGGTCCCTTAAGAAATCGTCCAAAAGTTTCTTGAATGCACTTTGTAATTTAACATGAAAATAACATACTATGTAACCAAAGAGAAGTTTACATTTTAAGTGATTACAAGTGTTTATAGGTATGTTTATAAAGTAGTGAGTGTGGCATTAGCCAATCAGCAGGTGAATTTTCCTGGTGCATGTGTTTTAAATTACAGTGCTTAATTCATTATCATACGATAATCACGGGGAATCCCGCAATCGTATGATAATCCGCAGGTGTATGGAAGGCGTGCAACCGTTTCTACTGTACGGTCGCACGCCTTTTGTCTTATGAGCACGTTGGAAAACCAGGCGAAAATCGTAAGATTGCGGGCTTGCGATGATCGCAAGTACGATCTGCCTGTCCAAGATGGGCAGATCGTACGAGCTTTCAATAACCTTAAAGTGTATTGCCAGATTAACATTCACTGCTAAAAATCTGCACCTTTAGGCCCAGTTCACAACTGGGCGTTTTGTAGCACGTTCCTACGCTCTGCAAAACGCTCAAACACCGAAATCCTATTATTTCCTATGGGTATGGTTCACACCTGGGCGTATTACAGGCCGCATGAATGCGCTACAAAACGCCCTACGCCCAAGGAAGTACAGGAGCTTCTTTGGGGCGTATTTGCCGCGCGTATCCATTGCGATACAGCCAGGTAGCCCTCGGAAACGCACGTTTGTCGCGCGGTTTTCTACTGTGAAATGCTGTAAAAACGCGCGACAAACGTGCATATTCAATATGCCTAGGTGTAAACCCAGCATTGAAAAGCCACAGTATTGGGGGAGGTGGTGGGGATTTGGATAGACTGTATTGTTCTATTTTATTTACAATTTAAATAGCAAGAAAATGTTAAAAATTTAGATTTTTTTTTTTTGCATGCAACCATGCTTTGAAAAATTTATACTTTTACAGTAAAACTATTTGTTTTAAGCCTAACACTGTTCATAACAATTGGAAAAAACTTTTTTTTTGTGTCTTTTTTTGTCAATATTATCCCAAAAAAAGGCTAGAGTTCACCCCAAAAATGCTATCTTAAGTATGACAAATTGCCAAAAAAACAGGCCCCAGTAAAAAATGTAAAAATTACTCTGCTCCATATGGGTTTTACAGGTATGGAAGCTGAAGTGGTTAAGCTGAAGTATCTACTTTTTGGCTAGGTGAAAAAGCCGGATATAAGCATGCAATGAAGTAGTCCAATTTGTAATTGGTTGCAGTCCAGTTTAAAATAGCAGTAAAAAAACAGTAATGATGTGGAGCTTAGAGGAATAAAGGTTAGATAGGGGATCATAGGTGTGCACAGGGGGTGTGTCTGGGCACACCCTAATCACCCCAAGTGTAACACCAAAACCCCAAAAGCGGACATCCTGTTTTTAGTCACTGAGCTGGCGGGGAGATCACAAAGATCTCTTTGTGGGCGCCTCAGTGACACAGAGTGCAGCAGCACTTGCCACTCGCATTCCTCACATAGCTGTGAGGGAGCATGGCTGCAGCTCTTCCCGTCCAATCAGGAAGCCGGGCTGTAAGGGACAGTTAAGAGAGGGGAATCTGAGTTGCCTGTGTATGTATATATATGTATATGTATGTATGTGTATATATATATATATATATATATATATATATATATATATATTTTGTTATTGTTTGTTTGTACTTTTGTGTGCACACCCTAATGCAATAAGTTATCATGCTGAATTTTGTGAGTATGTTTTTTATCTACCTTTGATCCTGATCTTAATAAATTTGTCTGCACCAGGAAAGGCGCCCCCTGTTTGTGTTTTTTTCCCAATAAGCTGTGCATACCTATGTAGGGGATACTCCTAAATAATCCCAATAAATAAAGGAAAGAATAATTATGACAACAGAGGTCTGTGCTCACCAATGGATTTGTAGTATATGTCCAGAAAGAGAAACAATGTTTTACAATAGTTGGTAAAACAGTTGCTCGTAACAAATGTATAAACATACAGATTTATAAACAAATACAGTGCAAAGTGTATTGGATCAGATGTACAGTTAACACAGTACCTATTTGTTTATACATCTGTATGTTTTTACATTTATTGGAAGCAATTGTTTAACTAACTGCTGTACAAAACTGTTGCTTTTTCTGGACATTTAATACCAATCCACTGGGTACGGGCACCTTGGGTGCTAACAATGGTTGCATGATGACTGCAAACACATACAAATGCACCAATATGGATTTTCCATCCTAACAGATCAATATTTCTGCAGTGTATTAAGTTACCACCAATAAACAGGCTGATTATTTTCTGAATATGCCTTAAACTACCTTACCAGTATGATAAATAAACTTACATGAATCACTTTTCCTTGTAAGCTCAACAATCTAAATTAAGCTCGAAGAAAGCAGCAGCACTGTTCAGCATGGATGGAGGAATCTGTTATATATTTTTTGTTCAGCCCACAAGTTGAACGAAGAAAATATAACTGTGTATACCCGACTTTAGAATGGGATGGGATGGGTGTTCTAGAGCAGTGGTTCTCAACCTGTGTAACCTCAGGACCCACATTTGTGCTTGGTCATTAAGTCGCGAACCAAGTCGCACTGCAATGGAACGCACTGCATTGTGTTCCGGTGCGAGCGATTGAACTGTGGGTTGGAGGTGCGTTTGGGGTGCCATTCAAATGAATGGCAACGCAACGCACCTCCCGCACCAAAACGCATAGTAGGTTGCGTGGTACAGTGCGTTAATGGCACAGGACTGTTCGATTACTGCACTATGCTAGTGTGAACGGGCCCTCAAAAATAAGGATGGGCTCGGGCGTGTTCGCAGCTCCACGTGCCGAGCCCGCCAGGAAGCTGACAGCGCGCAGCTACAATCACGGGTACTGAAACATTTTCCTGGTCCACAGCTGCAGAGATTGGGAAATGTCTCAGTGCCAGCTTCCTGACGGGCTCGGCACGTGGAGCTACGAACACGCCCGAGCCCATCCTTACTCAAAACACAGACAGACACACACAACTACAAACACAATCTCACACACACTCCCCCCAAAAAAATTCCTTTGTTTTTTAAGATCCACCCAGTCTCCCTACCTTACGAGAACTGGAGTAGATCCACAGCCTGGGGTCCAGTGTAGGCTGCTGTGCTGTGATGGAGCTTCATCCATATGTGCATTGCTTGTACAAGTCCCTTGCGCACCCTGTAGAGGTGCCAGTAGCCAGAATGTGACGTCACTCCGGTCCATGCACCTCTACAGGACATGCGAGGGAGCTGTAATCTATGCATCTATGGATGGAGCTCACTCGAAACCATAGCTGTAGCCCACCCCACCTCAGACTGACACTCAGCACCGGGCAGCATATTTTGAATGGCTGCTTGGCGTGACAACTGACAGTGCTGCACTAGGGGGAGGCTGAGAAGCCTCTCACCTAGAAAAAAGTAAGGCAAGTGGCGACCCAATGAACACAGGGTCGCGACCCACTTTTGGGTCACGACCCACCAGTTTAGAACCAAAAATCATTGCAATTCACTGTGTTGAGCATTAGTGTATGACCTGAATTAACATTTATTTTCCTCTACCAATAATTTATGGTTGCTGCTGAGATATAAATAGAACATAATCTGAAACTTTGAAGCAATTATTTATTCCATGCACTTCATTCTTATTAGATTGATGTACACTTAATGCTTTTATTTTGCTTCTTGTTTTCAGTGTTCCAAATGTAGGGCATTTGAAATCTGGCACTATTTCTTTTGTATACCACAATTTTTCATGACTTTTAAAACAAGTAAAAAAGTAATTTATAGTTATACAACACATACAATTTGGGGTCTATTCACAAAGCAGCCGAAGGATCTGGCCGTAGCTTTGGCCGATCCTTCGGCTAGCTTCGGCCCCAGGACCCCTTCGGTTCAGTAGAAAATTGAAATAACACTTGCTTTGTGTTTTCATACTTATGTATAGAGAGTGGTATTTGGCTACTAGATATATGTGTTTTATATAATGCTTATGCATGCTACTTGTTTTGTTGTTGCTTCTTGTCCTAATGTATATGAATATAAAACAGTTGCATAGTTTCTGCTTTGTTTACATATTCCAGCATAAAGTGCTAGTTTAAACATATGATGCCTCTTCAGCATCACATTACAACCTATTTTTAAAGAGTATGTATAGCCAAAATTAGTTTGTTTTGAATGGTCTAGGAAAAGGATAAAACCTAGGTCAGTTTATTTTTTGATGTCTATGTCCCATTTGGGAGCTTTCCTCTCTATTGGTGTCCCAGAGAAGCAATAGGAAATGAGAGGAAATCTGTACAAAGTGAGGGGTATTCTACTCTTCAGTTTTTACCAGAATAGGTGTCACCATGGGTTCTTTTTCTTCCCTGCTTCAAAGCAACAACAAAAAGGCGTATCTAAACATTCACTTCAGGGTCTATTTGTCGATGTTTTCACCAAAGATTATTACAATTATTACCAAAGATTTACTCATTTTTCACTTGATTCCCTTTATTTTAAAAAAAGAGTACATTTTGGCTGAAAGTTATGTAACTCTTGGGTGAAAACATTAATAAACACTACCCTTTTGTATTTTTATTATCCAAATTTTCCACTCCTTAGTGTATTTCCCCTAAACTTAATTTTCACCTTACAAAATGGGCTCTAAATACCTTAAACACTGTAGAAGTTCACATTTGGACTTATGATACCTGATTCTTGCTTGTATGTTGACTGATATTTAAGGTTTTTGGTGGATGCTGTAGAGCTTCATAATTTGCCTGTTGTTGATTGTTGAATGCAAATCAGTGTAAAGGTGTCTTGTGTTTGTGTCAAGTCCTTTGATTGGAAACATGTCTCATTTTCAGATGTTGATGAATGTACTAACAGCTCGCTGTGCAATCAAGGGTTTTGTGAAAACAACAATGGTTCATATCGTTGCCTCTGTTACCAGGGGTACCAAGACTCACTGGATGGGCAAGGCTGTGTGGGTAAGTTGTCAATTTCTAACACCTGTTTTAGAACTGGAATGTAAAAACATGCATGCCTCTAACATTTTCATATATTGTTACCTCTACATTGTTACACATTAGTATCTTTTCATTACCAAATTGTGTCTAGTAATCAATATTGGCATTTTATATGTAGC